CACCCTGACAGTTAGGAACTTTTTCCTAATGTCCAACCTAGACCTCCCTTGCTGCAGTTTAAGCCCATTGCTTCTTGTTCTATCCTCAGAGGCTAAGGTGAACAAGTTTTCTCCCTCCTCCTTATGACACCCTTTTAGATACCTGAAAACTGCTATCATGTCCCCTCTCAGTCTTCTCTTTTCCAAACTAAACAAACCCAATTCTTTCAGCTTTCCTTCATAGGTCATGTTCTCAAGACCTTTAATCATTCTTGTTGCTCTTCTCTGGACCCTTTCCAATTCTCCACATCTTTCTTGAAATGCGGTGCCCAGAACTGGACACAATACTCCAGCTGAGGCCTAACTAGAGCAGAGTAGAGCGGAAGAATGACTTCTCGTGTCTTGCTCACAACACACCTGTTAATACATCCCAGAATCATGTTTGCTTTTTTTGCAACAGCATCACACTGTTGACTCATATTTAGCTTGTGGTCCACTATAACCCCTAGATCCCTTTCTGCCGTACTCCTTCCTAGACAGTCTCTTCCCATTCTGTATGTGTGAAACTGATTTTTTCTTCCTAAGTGGAGCACTTTGCATTTGTCTTTGTTAAACTTCATCCTGTTTAACTCAGACCATTTCTCCAATTTGTCCAGATCATTTTGAATTAGGACCCTGTCCTCCAAAGCAGTTGCAATCCCTCCCAGTTTGGTATCATCCGCAAACTTAATAAGCGTACTTTCTATACCAATATCTAAGTCGTTAATGAAGATATTGAACAGAGCCGGTCCCAAAACAGACCCCTGCGGAACCCCACTCGTTATGCCTTTCCAGCAGGATTGGGAACCATTAATAACAACTCTCTGAGAACGGTTATCCAGCCAGTTATGCACGCACCTTATAGTAGCCCCATCTAAATTGTATTTGCCTAGTTTATCGATAAGAATATCATGCGAGACCGTATCAAATGCCTTACTAAAGTCTAGGTATACCACATCCACAGCTTCTCCCTTATCCACAAGACTCGTTATCCTATTGAAGAAAGCTATCAGATTGGTTTGACATGATTTGTTCTTTACAAATCCATGCTGGCTGTTCCCTATCACCTTACCACCTTCCAAGTGTTTGCAGATGATTTCCTTAATTACTTGCTCCATTATCTTCCCTGGCACAGAAGTTAAACTAACTGGTCTGTAGTTTCCTGGGTTGTTTTTATTTCCCTTTTTATAGATGGGCACTATCTGGACCTATTGGCTGAGTAAATGAAATGCAAGCTTTTGTCAGCCAGGTTCATCTTGTCCTCATACCCATGTGTCATGAAATCCCAGCTCCAATGAAGTGAATGGAAAAACTCCCCATTGAGTTCAGAGGGGCCAGGATTTCAGCCATTATTTTAAAATAATAGTAATCAAATAAAACCAAAGGAAAATAATGGATGGGAGGGGGAAGAACCAAGATAGGCTTCAAAATACTGCTCCTGCTGAAATCAATGGGAGTTCTGCAATTGACTCACGGAAGCAGAAATGGACCCCAAATCAGAACCTAAGCCAGATCATCAGCTGGTCACCAGTGGAGTAACTTCACTGACATAAGTGACTCAACAGAGCTACTCTGACCTGGCCCCTTGCAGTCAAATGTTGCCTCTCATCCCCAGTTTTGGAGACTGACATAAAATGAGACACAGACATGAGTCTCTCTGGTTTTGCAAAGCAGGTGCCTGACTGATGGTGACGTTTTCAAAGCAAAACAAAAACCACTCTGTGCTTTACTCATTTGCAATTGAAACAAGAAATGGGCCCGGAGCAGAAATATTTATCCAACCCCCCCACCATTTAGTGGGTGTTGGTCCTGCTTTGAGCAGGGGGTTGGACTCGATGACCTCCTGAGGTCCCTTCCAACCCTGATATTCTACGATTCTATGAATAGATGCCCAGAATCAGGGGCTTGGAGAAGACAGGGCTGAGCTGAACCTCACCCCGGATTTGGTTTGACGAAACAAAAAGCACCTGTGCTTTTTGCCTTTCTTCGTGTTCAGTCCCAAAGTAATGCTCATCTTAGTCGATTCACTGTGCTTTGCGCTGCTCTTTCCTCTTAACAGATAAGCAGCCCAGCAATCTCCCACCACAAGGCACCTTAAAAGTGGGACTCACTGAGTCTAAAAACACAGTCCTGATGCCATCATGCAAGTAAGCGGACATAAGTTTGCACGCTGAGAAGAGAGGATCCCACAGCCAGAAGGAGTACATTCAAAAAAGCTTTTTTTGTGCCTTGCCAGGAATATTCTGAACTCTTTCAAACATGGAATATGATCAGGAATCGAAATTAAGTATCAGCATCACCTCTTTGTGGTCTAATCCTAGCACCACCATGGTTTGACCTTGAAACAGATAAATGAAATAGAAAGTGTATACTCAGAATCATTAGTAATATGGGGACAGTGTCTGGACATCACCTTTGTGCAGACAGCCAACGCGAGGCTTATGCATCCCTTACGTGCTGGTTATAGTCTCAAAATAGGGCATAAATGGGACTTCAATGAGCACGGGCTTTGCATTAGCCCTCTGCCAGATGTGGATTTCACCCAGAGAGTTTTGAATAAAATTGTTCTAATTAAAGTGCTTCTTAGTTGGACCACAGAGCCCATAACCCTTCCTAGGGAGTTGGCTGCACCTGTCTTTGGAAAGTGAAAATAAAGGATGGGAGATTGGGCAGGGAGAGTGATCTAGTGGGTAGAGCCTGGGACTCACGAGATCTGGCTTCTATTCCTGGCTCTGTCACTGTCCTGCTGTGACATCTTTGGCAAGTCATATCCCCTCTCACTGCCTCAGTCTCTTGAGCTGTAAAATGGGGATAATTATACTGTCCTCCTTTGTAAAGTGCCTGGAGATCTACCGATGAAAAGTGCTATACAAGAGCTAGGTGTTATTGTCAGCAGAAAAGCACAAAGTGGCTGTCTTTCCTAGCAAATAAATAAAATATAAACCAGGGGTTCCTTAAAGGACACAGAATTATAGAATCAGAGGGGTAGCCGTGTTAGTCTGAATCTGTAAAAAGCAACAGAGGGTCCTGTGGCACCTTTAAGAAGCTTCTTGCATCTGAAGAGGTTCTTACCCACGAAAGCTTATGCTCCCAATACTTCTGTTAGTCTTAAAGTGCCACAAAATTATAGAAATGAAGAATTGGAAGGGATCTTAAGAGGTCATCTAGTCCAGCCCTCTGCGCTGAGGCAGGACAAAATAAACCTAGATCATCCCTGATAGGTTTGTCCAACTTGTTTTTAAAAACTTCCAGTGATGGGGATTCCACAACCTCTCTGGGAAGCTTATTCCATTCCTTAACTACCCTTCCTAACATCACCAACAACAGAGTAAAAGTCAACCCTGTGTAAGGGGCCAGCGCCAGACATCTGTAATTGCTTAGTGCCCATGTAACCCCTATTTTGGGGATGCAGTAGGATGTGAGTGATGCACTGGCCTTGTACTGACTCGCTGCACAGTGGTGAATTCCACTCCCATAGAGAGTAATGATGAAACCTATATTTAAAATGCTTGGCGAATAGGAAGCAGAGGACTATGCAATGATGAAGGAAGGGATTAATTTATTAATGGAAATATCCTATCTCCTAGAACTAGAAGGGACCTTGAAAGGTCATCAAGTCCAGCCTGCTGCCTTCACTAGCAGGACCAAGTACTGATTTTGCCCCAGATCCCCAAGTGGCCCCCTTCAAGGATTGAACTCACAACCCTGGGTTTAGCAGGCCAATGCTCAAACCACTGAGCTATCCCTCCCCCTGAGGCTGAAGATTTGCAAGGAGATGCAGTGCACACCTGCTAACGGGCTCCATAAGACAGTCTGACAAAATTCACTCATCTGATCTTGCTCTCATTGAAATCAATGGGATGTTGCCATTGACTTCTATGGGAGCTGGATTGGACCTGGAACGTGCAGCTTCTTGGGATAAACACAAAAAAAGAACTAAGAGTTTCTGAAAAGATTTTACCAACAATAGGGTGAAACCTACCATAGTGCAGAGGGCCAATATAAGGACTTTGAAACCCTGGTCCTACTGTGTGCTGTACTGGTCAACCCAGCTTAAAAAATGGTATTGCAGAACTGGAAGGAGTTTAGAGACAAGTGATAAGAATGCTCCTGGGCTCCTACGAAGAGAAGCTGACAGACTGGGACAGTTCGCCTTAGAAAGACAATGGATAAGAGGGGACATGGTAAAAGTATACACAGTCATGAATGGTCTAGAGAAGGTAGATAGGGAGAACAGAAGCACCCAGTCTCGTTACACAAGAATAATGGGATCTTCTATTAAAGTAAAAGGTGGGAAATTCAAAACTGATAAAAGGTGGAACTCTTTGCCACTGGAAGTAACTGAGGCCAAGAATTTAAGAGATTGGATATTTATATGGCAAAATCAAGAATATTCAGAGTTATCATAATCACTGACAACAGACTTTTGGAAGGGATTTTAAATCTTGTGTTTTGGGGCTGAAACCAATCTCTGGCTATTACAGACCAAGATGAGATCTAAGTGGGGGTGGAGGCAGATTACCCCACATCCGCTTACTGCAGGGTTCTTTCACCTTCCTTTGGCGCTGGAGACAGGATACTGGACTAGATAGATCTTGGGTCTGATCCAGTCTGGCAATTCCTATGTTCCTAAGTCCCACTTAAACCCTACTTTGAAGACATAAGTAGGACATAAGTGGTGTCTTTTGCACAAGCCTTACATAGCAATGTGCTTTAAAAAAGGGAGAAAACAATGCCAAGCACCCCCTACTCCCATAATAATCTTTGACTCCAAGGAGTCAATTTTCCAAATGGAAAATCTGTAGAACAACAACAAAACCCTTTTATTTCAGCTTATGCAAAAATCTCACGGGTGACTTTTCGCAGCATGACCTACTAGAGCATCACTCTCCTAGCAGAGTTAAATACAAGATGCTATTCACTCCCTGATGTATTTATTCATTGGTGGCTCTCTAATTAAAGAATAAATGGGTCTCTTTTACCTTGAATACTTCCATTGGAAGAGGAAACTTTGCTGCATCATTAAGGGATTTTTCCAGAGCGCATTTCCACTCAGATATATTCTTCAGAGAATAGATTTCTAAAACAACAACAAAAAAAATCACATAGTTGTTTAAGGACCAAACACTCCTGTAGCATGTTAATCTCATACACTATGTAACGCCACAATCCCAGTAAAACCAACAATGCAGCGTATACCCCGTACTGTGTAGTTCTGGTAAAAACAACAAAGAAGAATGACTCCACTAACACACAGAGCCAGAGAGTAATGTACTTTATTTCCTGCAGAAAAACAAACAAGACAATGAACACTTTTCAGGTTTTTTGTCAAAAAGCCAAAACTTGAAGTTTGAAAACCAAAAACTGAACTGGTTTTATGTTTGGCTGTCAAAAACTGATATTTTTGCTGTTTGGGGTTTTACAAGCAAAAGCCGAAACATTTTGACAAAAAAAGGGAAATGTTCTCATAAACGCTGTTCTCATTGGTAGTAGAAAAGGCACTTTCTGTTATAAAAAATAAAATAAAAATTTGCAACCAGCTCTATACACAGACATACTTGTCAATATAACAATCAGAGTACAATAGCAACCCAACAAATAGTCTTCACAACTGAAATCCAGTTACACTACAGCAGCTTCTTTAAATAGATTTAATATCGTTAGTTATATTACCAAATCCTTTAGTGATTCATTCCAGTAAAATGCCTATGAATCATCTACTGTAGGGACAATACAGTGATGGAGAATTTTATATTGGCTGTACTTCTGTTCTAGGAAACATATTGTTATCCAGCACACAACAAGTTATTGCAGAACATTCATCTCAAGCTCTTAAAGTTACGAGATCGACAGATAGAGTGCAACAATTATTAAAATGGAAATGAACAGAATAGGCTTGAATCCAGATAAGGAATAAACAGAGTGCAATTCCAATGGTGTCAGTGTAGTTATGTACACCAGTGCTGCGTTTGGCTCAATTTTCATTTGAAATTCTATGCTTATAACAGCCGCAAAGATTTACGGCTGCATCTTACAATTCTGAAGGAGAGAAGAAGAAAAAAGACGGAATTGGCAAGCACAGTTTTCACCTAGCATTGAAGCTATAAGGGAATGTTATGCTCTGATCTCAGCAGATTTAAGACCTTATCAAAACAGGATTTGCAGAATCACTCACTGGAAGTGGACGTATTTATATATCAAACTATCCAACTTCAGACAGACATCAAGGGTATGCATATGAATTTAAGCGCACTTAGAGGGACATGTTAACCTTTTAGGGCTATATTTTTAATTCCTTGCCTGTCTGGATTTCAGTGTGAACACACATTTTGATCCTCTGTTTAGAGTACAGATTGCGGCCGGAGTCCTCTGTACCAAGAGCACCTTGTAAGCGATTGTTACTCAGGGTGCCTGTTATGGCAGGTGTCCCTTTCCTTTTGGAAGCACTGCTCACCCTCGGGTGCGTTAAGAAAGTGACCCAGTCCTACCACCCTTCCTAGCATGAACAGCCCCGTTGCCAAGGGGAATGCTCACATAGGTAAGATGTATTCACACAGGGTTCAGTCAAGCAAGGGGGAATGTGCTGTTGCACTGCCCCAGGAGCAGACCAGGAAGCAGACACTGTCTCAGACAGTCACAATCTGCCTCCAGGTCTCACCCGGCGCCAAGCCTATCCCTGGGGCAGCGTACTTCCCTGGCATAGCTGGTGCACTGAGGGGGGTGGAGCCATGACTCTGCCCCACTCCCTGCCCCATCCCACCCACATGTGAGTCGGTGTGGCTGGGGGAAATACACAGCAGCCCCACACAGGCTGCTTCCTGGTCTGCTGGTAGCATCCTGCCTGGGCTGTGATTCTGGCCGGCCCCTAGGTATGCTGTGCAAAGAGCAGGGAGTCTCCTTTAGTCTCTCCCCCGCACTCGACTCCCAGCGTGTGAGAGGCAGCTGGCACCCTGCAAGGATAACCCCGTGAGGATTCGGGGCTGGATCATGGTCAGCCCCATGCAGATGGGCCGTGTGCAGGAAAGAGACTTGCCTTTAGTGATGCAGCATCACTGAACCTTGGGACCTTCAGCCCTTCCCCACCCACCCACCGCCGCAGAGCCGGCGGGAATGAATGCTTCTCTGAAATGGAGTTGCTCGGAGAGTGCAAGGATGCCAAGGGACCTGGGGTTTGTTGGTAAAAAGGAAGGCTCTCTGGGCATCTCCATGCTTGGCCACTGTTTGGCCATCCCCCTCTATTATTCCTTCCCAGCCATCTGTTTTTATTTTCCATTTGTTAAGCTTCAGGCTAAGATGATTCTCCCTGCCCCTCTTCAGATTGATCTGCAAAAGACAGCTGTCAGCCAGGGGATAGCTCACTACCCAATTCAGCAGCCTCTGGCCCAGGTGAATGGGAGATTTCTCACTTGGCATAGGGATCAGCCTTCCAAGGCCAGCAGCCACTAATTGCTGAATTTCTGGATCCCTAAATCAGTGCTCTTCATCTTGCGGGATATACAGTTTGCAATCAGAGACCAGCACACGGTACGCAACACTGTTACCATCTCGATTTTATTTTGAATCTTAGGATATTTCTTTCCTTACAGACTTCCTTCCTGGAGGCATTTGATGACGTGGGAATTTCAGTTTTCATTAAGAAAAGAAAAAGTCATTTCTGGCTCCGACAGCTGCTGGAAAAACGCTTGCAAACGGGACCCCTAGAGGCTCAAAAATCAGAAAACAAATAAAAAGAACCCAACAGTGATGATTTTTTTTTTTTTAAATCTCAAGGTTTTTAAGCCAATCTTATGATTCTTGGGAGCCGGACTCTGATTTTTAAACACTTGGGGTTGGCAACACTGCAGATGCAGATTTATTGGGCCAGAACCTCGCTGGTGTAGGAGCAATGCCATTACACCAGCGGGTGTAGGAGCTATGCCATTACACCAGCTGAGGATCTGACCCCTGGTGTTTCCTTAGCTTCTTACTGTGTTTTATATTTACTAATGGCCTGCAATGTTTTATGTTGGACTAGATGACCTCCTGAGGTCCCTTCCAACCCTGATATTCTATGATTCTATGTTTCCTGCAGTAGCTGCAATGGAGGTAGGGGCGAGAGTAGGCGAGTGGCATTTATTATTCTTGCATTTGAGTAGGTGAAAATCAGTTGCATTTTTGGGTGCATATTCAATGAGCCTCAAACTGGCACATCTCCCAGTTGCAATAACCAGCGAGCGATATTATGAACGCATTTCATTAGATAGAGGCAGTTAAGTTATGTTGGCAAGTTTATGGACACTAAATCGCAGCGTTAAAAGAGCATAAAGCATTCTCTTTAAGTGATAGTGTTGCAGACAATTGAACAAAGTGTGCCGTGTCAATTTGTGTTGAGGGCAACAAGAAATAAGCAATTAAAATGTCTGCCGATTCATCTTTAACTACAAGTTCGCATGAAATGAGGCAATCTCTCTTTGTATCAAAAATGTGCGCCAGATTTCGAGCTTGTGTCATTTCAATGGCGCTGCGCCAATTTACATCAGATGAGCATCTGATCCCAGGAATCCAAACTCATCTGGGGTCAGAGCCTCGCCCCATCCCAGCTCCTTTGTGCCAGATAAATGGACTTAAGGGGACCCTCAAACTCAGGGGTTCTCAAACTGGGGGTCGGGACCCCTCGGGGGGTTGAGAGGTTATTACATGGGGGAGCTCCACCCCAAACCCCACTTTGCCTCCAGCATTTATATTGCTGCTAAATATATAAAACCGTGTTTTTAATTTATAAGGGGGGGTCGCACTCAGAGGCTCGCTATGTGGAAGCTTGAGAACCACTGCTCAAATTCCTGATTCCAGCTGGGGAAGGATACCACCCTAGTGCAGGCACTGTGGCAGACAGCCAGAAGGGCTGCCTTCTGAGGACACCCTTGCAAGCCTTGGCACAGGGGGCATGCCAGGAACGGGGGGAGGAGGCGTGTTTTGGGGGTAGGCCTGTCTCGATTCTGAGCAATGCTGTGCTCCACAGGGCAGCCATCACTTAAACAGGTCCCTAGGGCTACCCAAAGTTACGCAGGGGCCTTCTCCAGACCCAGGACAGCCCAGGCTTGGGAGGGCAGAAAGATGGCGTAAAGTCACCTTTGCCCACCTCCCCTGGAATGCGAGTTGTGCATTGCATTGCACAGAACAGACTCTCACTCCTGAAACGCAGTGTAATAAACAGCCTGCCTGCCTCTGAAATAGCCACCCAAGCTGAAACCCAAACCTGCAGTCTTCAGATTGATATTCAACTTAGAAAAAACATGGCATATTCACACAAGGAAATGAAGTTCATAGCCTGGAGGGACTGACTGCAATGGTGTGACGTTGATTTACACCAGCTGAAGACCAGGCTCTGAGGACTTGATCCTGTGAGGTGACAGGCACCCTCACTTCTCACTGGGAGATAAGGGTGGCTGGCACGTCACAGGATCGGGCCCAGAAAGGATACGCATAGATTGGCTAAGGTAGTTGGGGGTGCATACGTCCAACACACCCAGAGGGTGAAAAGAGCAAGGACAGATGGAATCCCTTGGGAAGGAACCAGGGAATAAATCTAGGAGTCACGTAACAGAGTGACAATAAAGGGACCGTTGGGGTGAACGCGAGGGAAAACGTCCTGGCAATGATTTGGCTGTGGCACAATCTCCCAAGAAGATCCTCACTTCAGCCCGTCTGCATTCTTCACTACATTCTTCACATTAGTTAACTGCCTTCCTGGGCTAGCCATGGGCTTTGCTGAACCACCTAAGGGGTGCCGTAGAGGAGATGGCCTCTAGAGGACCACGGGCCGATGAGGAGAGGAATCCCTTAGAAGATCCTGAGGAAAGACGCTCTGATACTGTACGCCGTAGGAAGCATGCAGGAGGGGAGTAATGCTATGCTAACTCCTAGGAACCTGGCACCTTGGAAAAATTCACATGCCCTGCATGCAGTGGGTGACATTCATCACAGCAGAGAGAGCTCTAATTGGGACTTAAGTAGCCCATACCTGATGGCCGGTATCTTGACCATTGCAAAGAGAATTGAAGTGGGGACCGCCAAAGCTAAAACCATCAGTTACTACAGTATGAGCCAAAGCAGGAGCTGTAGAAGACTCATATCTTCTGTGGCTCATAAGAGATAGGGACCAATAACACACACTCACTAGTGGGTGACACAAACTTCGTGCTGGCCCTCTCTGCCCTTGGTGGAATTTCAGCCTGAACGTTTAAAGTTTTGTGTGTGGCCCGAAGTCTCCACTCGCTGAGTTGCGGATTGCTGCCCGCTGTGACGTTGCACTCCATAATGCATGGAGTTATGGAAATAGGCTTATGAGTGTAAATATGAGGTAATTGGAATACGCTTCATGCAAAAGGTCTCTTGTAAGGTATCATTACAAAGTTTATAATCTACTGAGTGTGTTCATCCTCTTTGTATGAATGTATCTTGCTTGTATCTGAAACTAGGAATATGACGTATAACTCCGAGGTCCTATTGTAATTATGCAAAGTGTGGGCCATTAATGGTGGTTTAGAGTCTTGATCGCTCCCATTGACTAGGACAATTGGTTATAAATGGCTCTGTTTACTTTCAAACCTTCCAGGGTACGTGCGGGCCATCCCCGGAAGAATGGAGACTAAGGGTATGTCTTCACTACCGACTGGATCGGCGGGCAACGGTCGATCCAGCGGGGATCGATTTATTGCATTTAGTCTAGACGCAATAAATCGATCCCCGAGCGCTCTCCCATCGACTCCTGTACTCCAGCTCAGCGAGAGGCGCAGGCAGAGTCGACGGGGGAGTGGCAGCAGTCGACTCACCGTAGTGAAGACACCGCGGTAAGTAGATCTAAGTACGTTGACTTTGGCTACGTTACTCATGTAGCTGAAGTTGCGCAACTTAGATCGATCCCCACCCCTAGTGTAGATCAGGCCTAGGGGTCTCACAGGACATGTGAACATGTTACCTGATACTCAAATCCATCCTAAACCTGGTGCTTTTCCATTTAGAAGGAGGGGTGGGGATCCAGAGAGACAAAGGATTCCCGCCTTGTGCCAAAGCTATAAAAGGGGGTGGAGCAAGATAAAGAGGGTCCCAGTCATGAGAAAACCCCTAGTTACCACCTAAGATGTCTGCTGGAACTGACAAGGATTGTACCAGGGGAAAAGATTGGGTCCAGACTAGGAAGGAGTCTAGTCTGTGAAAGAAGCTTATTGGAACATCTCTGAGGGTGAGATTTACCTGTAATCAGTTTCTTAATGTATTAGGCTTAGACTTGTGTGTTTTGTTTTATTTTGCTTGGTAACTTGCTTTGTTCTGCCTATTATTACTTGAAACCACTTAAATCCTACTTTTATACTTAATAAAATCACTTTTGTTTATTAGTAAACCCAAAGTAAGTGATTAATACCTGGGGGAGCAAACAGCTGTGCATATCTCTCTATCAGTGTTCTAGAGGGTGGACAATTTATGAGTTTACCCCGTATAAGCTTTATACAGAGTAAAACGGATTTATTTGGGGTTTGGATCCCATTGGGAGCTGGGTGTCTGGGTGCTGAGCAGTTTTTGGTTAAAGTCTGCAGCTTTGGGGGCATGAGCCAGACCTGGGTCTGTGTTGCAGCAGGCTAGCGTGTCTGGCTCAAGCAGGCAAGGTTCTGGAGTCCCCAGCTGGCAGGGAAAACGGGCTCAGAGGTAATCTCAGCACATCAGGTGACAGTCTGTGACCGAACCCGTCACACCCACATCGCCATTTCTTGGCAGGGATCCAGAGGAAATACTTGCCCGCATGGAACTGACTTCCTTCTCAGCTGAATGCCGAGGAAGTACGAAATCAAATGTTGTGTGCGCTATCTGCAGGCATTCATCTCCAATCTAGGAAATAATTTAATGTGCGTAAAAGGAAATTATGCTGCCACTGGATGGATTAATAAGGAATTACTTACTGGAAATTATATTCAATTTGTTGCAGCCTACATTTTTCTCTCCCAGATTAATTGTGTCTATTTAGTAACAATACAATATATCTAATGGGTCTTGTAATCCTTTGTTTCTCAGCTGGACTTCGAGTGGCCAACAAACTGTACTGAGTATGAAGTGGGACTACCAGCACCTTTGTCTCTGCTCTGCTCCAGAAGCAGAGCAAACATAAGATAAGGGATCTTTAAGGGGCTCGTCCACAATGATAAAACTAGAAACCTAGTCAATTTCACATTGCCATTTGGCTTGTCAATAGAGTGGAGAGCATGACAGCTGGCAAAACAACTGGGGAACAGTAGGGATTAGGAGGGAACTAATCAGGAAAGAGATGGACAGAAGCAAGGGCTTTGATTCTCCTCTCCCACCAGTGTTATACTGGTGTAACTCCACTGGAACAGACCCTTAGCTGGTGTGAAGCAATGTACCTCCATTGAAGCCACTGGATGCTATAATGAAGAGCTGGCTTGAATAGTTATTTCAGATTTACACTAGTGTATCAGGGCCCCATGTAACAGTGGGAGGACGATGGAGAGAAAGCAAAGAGCAAGGCGAGAATTAAATTAATGGAGATATCCTATCTCCTAGAACTGGAAGAGACCTTGAAAGGTCATCGAGTCCAGCCCCCTGCCTTCACTAGCAAGACCAAGTACTGATTTTTTCCCCAGATCCCTAAGTGGCCCCCTCAAGGATTGAACTCACAACGCTGGGTTTAGCAGGCTAATGCTCAAACCACTGAGCTATCCCTCCCCCCTGCTCTAATGAGAAGGAAGAAAGAGAGAGAGAGAGAGAGAGAGAGAGAGAACAAGAACAGTGAAAGAAAGCCAAATAACCAAGTTAGAGAAAAGAAAAAGAAAAAAACCCAAAGAGACTAAAAAGGAGCCAGAACAAAGGAAAGAGACAAACCCAAAAACAAATACAGTATGAGAATGGACGCAAAAAGCAGAAAAGACAGAGGTAATCATAGCTGTGTTTACTGAGAATTAAGTTGGCCGGCGAGGTCGTCAGAGAGGAGCAATGAAAAGGTGGGTTTTGGTGACCCACAGACTATTACACAACACAAGACTACTCTACCCAACACCAGCTCTGCTGATGTAGCTAGACAGGCAGAGCCCCACCGGCAGAGCCCCCTAGTAGAGGTGCAGCATATGCTGACAGAAGGAGTTTTTCTGTTGGCATAGCAATATTCCCCTCTCCCTCCTGCCCCCATGGTAGCACTCTTCTGTCAGTACAGCTACATCTACATGGTGGGGATGCAGGTGGTTTCTGGCATAGCTATGTCAGCTGCGGGGGCGGGGGGGAGTTTAGATCTCTGACCAACATAGCTCTGCTGACAAAAATTTGTAACACTGACCTGCCTTAATGTGTTCACCCTGGTAACTGCTCTAATGATTTGCAACACAGAAGGAAAGCAGCATTAAAAATACCTTCCCAGGGATAATCCCCACTCAACATTTATTGAAATCAACAGAAAGACTCCTTCTGTTACACATGGGATAACTGAAGCCCAGAGAAGTTAAGTGACCTGCCCCCAGGGACAAAGGAAGAGTTAGGGATAGAAGCCAGGTCTCCTGTGCCTTAACTAAGAAATCATCCTTACTCCTCAAGGGGAATTTTGCCTGGTCTGGGGTTTCACTACAAGCCATAACTTGAGTTGAGGTAAACGTTTTGATGAAGCTGAGTCAAGTTGCTTCGGGACTTGGGGTGGAAACTATAACGCTGGAAAACGTGCTGACTTTGTAATGCCAGGCCAAATGTGCCATTGGCTGAGTTTCGTTTTGAGTTGTTGTCTTCGACTGAATCCATAACTCGGGGCAGCTCTCAGGGGTGCAAATGAAAGCAACTCTAACCCAAGAGGAAAAGCATCCAAAAAAAAAATTCCTTCAAAATGAAACTGACAAGGTTTGCCCAGCCCAGCCCAACTTTACGGGGAAAATTCATCCCACAGGCATGTCCCCTGAAGTCAAATCTGGTCCTACTCTAACATAGCAACAACAGACACAATTGGTATAAAAATCGCACATGCTTTAGGGGAACTGGAAAATATAATCGTGGACTTTCAACTCTAAAAAGTCAGGCTTCTACCATTTGCACTAAAAGAGAGCTCCCTTAGCCAGCAGCAGTAGTAGGTCCTTTAGCCTCTCCGTGAGTCCAGCCATTAGAGGGCACCACTCAGTTACTTACCTATACAAAGCCACTACACTGTGGGTCTGGTTTTCCGTCTTTTCACTCCAATTTTACATTGCAGTAGTGCCATTAACTTCAGTGGAATTATTTCTAGTTTACATCAGAATGAGACATTATGCTCCAAAACACATTTCTCAGGAGACTTTCATTATATTACTGTTATTATTACAATACCACCTAGAAGTTCCAGTCAGGAATCAGGACCCTACTGTAGTAGGGACTGTACAAACGTAGTAACAGACAGTCACTGCCCTGAAGAACTTCCAACCTATCATACCCAACTTAGACAAAGGGCTGATCTACACGACAAGTTACTACACTGCAAACAAGAGCTGACTCTACAGTGCCCCGGCTTGCCATAAAGCCCACAGGAAGCCACTTTATCCCCATTTCATAGATGAGGGGCAGAGCGCTTAGGGGTTTTGCCCTTAGATTATATAGAAAATCTATGGTAGAGCGGGGAATTGAACTTAGGTCACCTAAGTCAGAGTCTGAGCCACAAAACCATCGTCATGCCCTTAACCAAATCCACCAGCCTAATGGGTTTAAACTGAGTAACTCGTGGTCAAAAAAACATGACTGATAAACTAGAAGAAACGAACAGCAGATCCACACCATTCTCAGTAAATAAACAGGTTTCAAATGCAAATGATGAGAGCATATTTTTAACGAGCCATTTTACCTGCAGGTGGGTCCATTCTGTATTTATTCTCTTGACACCAACCGACTGGTCGAAGTCTGCAATCCAAGTAAAACAACCACTGGTCATAGGATTCAGTCTCCTCCAATCCCACATAGCGAAGGCGTAATCTTCCTCCAACATTTTCAACCACACTAACTATCCAGTACTGAAAAGGGTTCTGGGAATCCTGCAGCTCTATTAAGGAATCAACTGTAATGAGGTCTACAGGGTTTTTTCCTCGCAGAGGCTGTTTGAATAGAAGCAAAACTCCTTATTTTAAATTTTATTTGAAGACGTCTCAAGGAAACAGATGACAGCAGAAGATTATTTTTGTTTTTCACACCATCATCCAAGCTATCAGCAAACAGTCTGTTCTCCTCTTTTACCCAACGGCTTCCAAGTGCAAATTCAGAAGAAAACACAAAACAACAGTTGTGCTAATTTCTCAACCAACAAAAAAATAAAATTGCTGTTGGACATTTTAGGATTCTTAGGAATCCACCTAGTAGGATTCTTCCAAAGGATTCAGGGCCCAGTCCTGCTAGGGGATTTCACCCCCACCGACTCTAACTGGAGTTTGGGGTGTATATCCCATCATAGGACTGGGCCCTGAAATTAACCTAGAAGGCATGCTATTCAGAGCATGATCCTGAAAGCCCCCCATGTGCACAAAGCTCTCATTCACCATGGACTTGATCCTGCTTCCACTGCCATCAGTGGCAAACTTCCCACTGATCTCAATGGGGGCAAGATTGGGCCATCCAGTGGGAATTTGAAGGCCACTACGTCCATGGAAGACTCCCATTGACTTCAAAGTGCATGAGATCAGGTGCTAAAAGAGAGCGGTTTTCTGGATCAGGCCCTCATAGCTGATTTAAAGTGAAACAAGAAGTTCCAATGACAGTGTGTATTTTCTTACACACAGAGTATGTTCTAAGGCCCCGATCCTGCAAACACTTAAGCACAGACTCAGCTTTACTACTGCAGTACCGCCAACCTCAAGCACTCAAAACCACGAGTCAGGCTCTACAAAAATCCTGTGATTGGGATAAAAAAAAATCATGAGTGGGGTTTTTTCCACAAAATAATATATTTTGGATTCTTTTTATTTCCCTTTGGGTTTCTGAGCCTTTCGAGTGCACTTGCCTCACATTTTCAAGCTTTTCTCTGAAATTCATGAGGTCTAGAAACATACTTTTTTTTTTAAATGAAAGCGAAGATTCTCATGCACAAATCTCTTGATTCCAGGAGTTGGGGCTTTAAGAAACACATTTAAAAAATCATTCGATTCACGATAAAATTCCGAGAGTTGGCAACCCTGTTTCTTCAAGCAGTCCCAATTGCTCACAGCAATGAAATTAAGCACATGCGTAAGTGTTTGAAGGATCAGGGCCTAAATTGTTAGCTGTTTGTGTACCAAGCCTGTTGAAGGAAACACACAGTAAAAACCAATAGCCTTTATAGGGATTTCGAAAATATTTTGAAAATCAGAGAGAGTTCGAAAATGGTTCATACTAGGGCTGGTTGGGAAAAAAAGGGAAGCCGGTATTTCAAAAAAAATTGTCCCTTTTTTTCTCTTTTTTCCCCATTCAAAAAACTGCAAAAATTTGAAATTCAAACTTCAGCCAGCATTAGAGTTGATCAACAAAATGGAGAGGAGGGTTGGAATCACAATATTTCTTTTGTAATTTGTTCCCTTTTATTTTTAATATTTAAAAAAATAAGTTTGAAATTGTGTAACATGAAAATTTTCAACCAGCTCTGTGAATAGTTGATACATCTCAGTGCAATACATTTGCTTACAGTATTAGCAACTTTCTTATTGTATTTATCAAATGCATCCATACAATCTCTTAAAGGATCATGTCATGGCAAAATGCTGTTTCTAAATACACCTCTACCCCGATATAACGCTGTCCTCGGGAGCCAAAAAATCTTACCGCGTTATAGGTGAAACCACGTTATATCGAACTTGCTTTGATCCGCCGGAGTGCGCAGCCCCACCCCCCCGAGCGCTGCTTTACCGCATTATATCCGAATTCGTGTTATATCGGGTCATGTTATATCGGGGTAGAGGTGTATAACAATATCATGGAATTCTGATTTAATGTCATTTTTCTTCCATACAATTGCTTCAGTACAATAAAACATTCCTTAACATCAAAGGATATAGTAACACCGTAATGATTTAATTTATTATAATAGATGCCTGACCATTATAAAGCTAATATTGCTTCTCTGATCTGCATGCTAGAAGCTAAGCCAAACAATCAGTTGTCACTTTTCCATGAGAGCAGAATGCTAACATTAATATTTGGATTGTATTGAGTATTCATTTTGAAAGTACAGCAAGAACCCTTTTATGAACAGCTCCAGTACAGAAAATTACCTTGTTAAATCAATATGCAATGATAACAATGATCTGCAGTGCAGATTAACAGTAATTCTATTTACCAGTGGGTTACAAACACAGCATGACGTACTGTATTACCCACATACCTCGCACATAACAGAGCATAACACCATTAAACACAAGATTGCAGACGGTTTCTATCCACGCTGCTGTTTCCTCCCTCCACACTTCTGCCCTTGTTGCCTGCCTGTTTCTTCTACCAACATCAAAGGAGGTAGGGTAGAGCCTACAAGCGACATGGGGGCTTATTCTGATCCCATTCACATGGTTTGGAATTGCACCAGTGTGAGATAGGAGTCAAGCCCTTAGGCTTTCGGCATATTCTAGCTGGGAGCATGAAAGTGACTGTGGATCCATCTGCCATGATCATCTAAGGTTATGTCTACACTACACCTTGTGTCGGCATCACTTAGGTCACGTAGGGGTGTGAATAAATCACCCGGAGTGGCATAAGTTACACCAACATAAGCGCCAGTGTGGACAGCACTGAGCTTCTGCCGCCCACGGGGGCTGGAGTAGGCAAGCCGCCGGGAGAGCTCTCCCCAGCTTAGAGTGGCTACATTGGAGAGCTTACAGCTGCACCGCTATAAACCTGCTAGCGTAGCCATGCCCTGTTTCTTTGAATGTTTAGGATTTTTGGCCTTGTGGACTGAAAAACCCTGGTGATATTCTACTAAGTCTACCCTGTGGCTAACTAGTGAAGTATCCGCACTCTTTAAAAATGAATGCATGTGTTTGTGACTTGCACGAGTGGGCAGAAACAAAGCGATCAAAGCGAGGAGTATCTTGAAATGCATCTGCATTCTTAAGGTAAACAAGCGTTTACACAGATGTAAAGCACATGTTTACTTTAACTCTGAATCCATCCAAGGCAGGGCAGAAGACCAATCTCCTCCAGGGAATATCCCAGCACTGCAGATCCTGCAAACCTGTTCTCTACATGCCTGACCTCTAGGCAGCGCTACAGCATGTATTGCAAGCATCTCTAGCGCTCCAATTGCTACTGTAAGCGATTGCTCCTGCAGGAGAAAGCGTTCTCCAAAATCCCAACGCAGCATTCAGTTGAGAGCACAGAGTCCCAGCAGGGAAGCTGCCAATTTCACACGGTTTCAGGACGAAACCATAAACGGGCCCAAGATTTACTCGAAGGGGACTGTGCGCCTCAGCGCATCTTCCCACAAACCTGGTCTGGGATTGGCGCTTTTAAGTGAGCCCGGCACCGGGTGAGTTTGGCATGGATGGATGTCGTTCACCCTGCGAACATGCTCGGTGCCTAGAGCTTCAACCATCTGGCTGTGTTTTTACATGTCCCCATCGCCTCACCTGAGCAGAACAGAGAGACTCCCTATTGCCAACAGCGCTTTCGTGCACTAATCGCCAAATCCTGTCCCGAATGAGTAACTGGACTTTGCGCTGGGGAGATCCATGGGGTCAGAGGGAAAATGAATTCTCCCTGCATGGGCAGAGCGACCCCACAGCTTTGTCTAGCATCGACCTATGGACTGACCAGTGGGTCCAGCGAATCCCCACCCCCACTTGTCTGCTGGCCCGACACCCTAGTACCCGGCTGGCTGGAGACCTGTAGTGCTGTGCTCCATGGTGCAGACCCCCTCAGGCCCCTCCCTCAAACTCCACAATGAAGAGACGTAGATTCTTCTGCCTTTGGGGCTTCCTGTGTCTCTTCCTTGGGCCTACAGGTGATATGAACTCCCTCCTATAGGGTTCCAATAGGAAGACTCCTTTGACCTCAAGAAGCACTGGATCAGCTCCATAAGGTTATGTCCACACTGTAGCTGAGAGGTGTGATCCTAGCACGGGTAGACAGATTCACGCTAGCTCTCCTTAAGTTAGTGCGCTAAAAATAGCAGTGTAGATGTTGCGGCAGGGGTGGCGGCTCAGCTAGCAGCCCAAGACCATGCCCGCCTGGCCCCCGGGGTCCAAGCCGCTGCCCCGCTGCAATAGCCACACCTCTATTTTTAGCGCGCTAACTTAAGCAGAGCTAGTGCAAGTCTATCTACCTATGCCAGGATCACACCTCCCAAGTGCAGTGCAGACACACCCTAAGGGGATACACAGACATTGCAAGCACAGAGCCCTATATTTTCATGGTTGAACATCGCTATAATATAAATACAGTGCCACGTTATTAAATATAAACTGCAATCTAATACATACGCCTTCCAGTAAATTTGCAGGTGCCGTTCGGGAGCCTGTCAGATCGTGTATAAGAAACGCCGTCCAGTCGGCGTACTTCTCTTTGATTGCTGGGGGGGAAAAATAAAAGAAACATTTAGCATTGCAGATGATGCCACGTACATTATAAAGCCACTTTCCATGGTCAGGACCAGCATGGCCATGGGCTTATCGGCTCTGCGCTGTGGCTGTATCCAACAGAAAACAGAGCTAAGAGTTTCAAGTTTTAGATGCAAATACAGTTTGCACTATGAAAGAACAGGCCCCAGAGAGTCTACACGCACACACTGAGTCAGATCCCCAGCTGGTGGAAGTAGGCGTCGCTCCACTGAAGTCAAGGACATTGATTTACACCAGATGAGGAGGCGGATGACCAGCGCCAGCAGCATCTTCCCAATTACATGCTTCATGTTCACCACTTAGGCTCACACTTGTCATACAAGGTATCTTTGAATGTTTTATAAATCATCCCAGAGGACAAAAGCCATGATCACATCCAATTCATTGACAAGGCATTAATATGGAAACGCCACACAGCATTCTTCCCAGGTAACAGACAAAGCAGCCTTAGGACAGGGGTAGGCAACCTATGGCACACGTGCCGAAGGCGGCATGCGAGCTGATTTTCAGTGGTACTCACACTGCCCGGGTCCTGGCCACTGGTCCGGGGGGGCTCTGCATTTTAATTTAATTTTAAATGAAGCTTCTTAAACATTTTAAAAACCTTATTTACTTTACATACAACAATAGTTTAGTTATATATTACAGACTTAAAGAAACAGACCTTCTAAAAACATTAAAATGTATTACTGGCACGTGAAACCTTAAATTAGAGTGAATAAATGAAGACTCGGCACACCCCTTCTAAAAGGTTGCCGACCCCTGCCTTAGGACATCACTAACTAGCTAGTGAATAAATATGTTTCTGAAAAGCTAAGGAAGGATTGAACCAAATTCCTAGGAACTTCTATTCTGCTTCACAATATCCGAGCCACTATCTTCTAGCCAAACAATACAAACCTGTATCTTCTTAGGATTCAGCATTAACTAATTTTTGTTACATTTAGGCTGGAATTTACAAAGTCATCTGTGGGATTTAGATACCTAATTCCTTTTAAAAGGAGTAGAAACCGGGCACTCAAGCGCCTTCGGTAACTCAGAAAACCTCAGCCTTAGTACGAAAAACCTCCTGTAATTAATCTTGTGTGTTTGCAACTGAGGAGCTCTGAGGATACATTCTAATTTCACCTGCCTATAATTGGGAGTTAGAGATCAGATTTTTTCTCAGACCTAACTTACACAAGGGTTAGATAATATATTGATAAACAGAAATACTGTTATATTTCTAAACGTAGCAATGTTAGCTGCAAAAGAAAAAAAAATTATTGTCAACGGAAAATTGGAAGCAACTGGATAGAGGATTTAGAGACCATGACCCCCCTAGCGGCATGCAGTAACTACAGTGCTAAAAATACAGGGTCAGATCCTCAGTAACTGTTGGCTGGCATAGCTCTACTGACATCAATGAAGCTATGCCAGCTTACACCAGTGGAAGATCTGGCCCAAACGATGTGGAATCCTTTTGTTTGAAATTAGCTTTCAAATGTAGACAAGCCCCCCAAAGTCACCTGAAAGCAATTCCACAGGTGCCAGGTTCCACAGGATAGTCAAAAGCAACACATAGTGATGGGTATTGAAGGTGCTGATCGATTTCATTTTATTTGCATGGATGTACAACTTCTTTCCACTACCCGAAGGCAGTTACAACAATCAAGGCAGTTTCCATATCATATCCAGCTCGGAAGCCCGACTGACTAAGCTCCACAAAAATGGAAAGAATACAGCTGCTGCAGGAGTTGGCCTGGCACTACCTTCTTCCTGACCTTCCCCACAAAGTGAAGGCTGGACCTTGTGAGATAATTTATGCCATTTCTCTTGAACAAGGGCTGGGCCACCCCCTATTTGAAGATTACTGGGCCCAGACTTTGCTCACAGGCTTTCACCAACAAAGGCAGCACAATCCCCAGCGGCCACCAAGAAGTAAATTTTTTACACAGATTCGCCACTTCCTGCTCCCTCCCAGGGGAAACCACATTGGGTCACCTGCATTCTGGGCCTTCCTCAACTAAAAGGATTTGCTTCTTTGTGATTAGGCTGCCGGGTACCTGAACCAAAAGCTTCAGGCAGCCCCATAAGATACCAGCCCATCATTTTACCCTGCGCTGTACGCAAGGGAAAGTCACCTGTTAATTCACTGATAGGAGTGATAATGCTGTTAGCTGGCCAACAGCCAGACTGATGGGAATCCAAAACCTTCTGAGCACTTGCAAATCAGAGCCATTAATTTGCCGTCACGCTCATTTCTCCAGAAGTTATGGGGCTTGAGAAAGCAGCGAAATAGCTCCATAATCTGAAATGGTATGGCTATTGCCAGACTTAAATGTAGGAATAAATTCTGATATTTGGTGGGAACTGAAACTGTCTAGTCTGTTTATCCTGAGTATTTCTGAGACACCTAACGATGCTGCTGCGCTAGGTAAGGACCAACTACCAAGGACCTGATCTAGCTCCCATTGAAGTGTGTTGAATGCTGCGGCTGACTTTAGTGGGAACAGGACTGGACCTAAAAGGTGTCAAAAGATGAAATAATTCCACCAGAGATCCAGAAGCCATGGGTGAGATTGTGCCCTTAGGCACAACTCTGTGTAGGCCGCAGCACCCGCAGACTAACCTCTTCTTCCTTCTTGCTCTGAAGGGGAAGTGATTTACTGCAGCCCTTCACAGATGCAACTTATTCCCCCTCCCCAGCCACCAGAGCATTGGGGAAGGAGGAGCGAGGAGCCCTGGCTCCACCAAATCTCTGTCCCCTTGCTAAAGGGAGCAGGTGGAATTCAGCCGCTGCACTCCACACAGCACATGAAGATCTGGGTAAGTCTAGCATGGTAGGCTAGGAAGGGCTAGGGCTACAGTTATGCTAGGGCTATTCACAAGCTGGCCCTAGATCAGTACCTGTTTTCAAGGGCATGGGGGTCAGTGGCATTTCTACCATTAGCGATACACCGATCAGTCTTTCGTAGCCGAGATAATACCCCCAGACGCTGTATTGTTCTAACGAGGGATGGCATTCATGGTGTGCAGCATTTCACATGTCCCAGGCACCGGCTGAACATTTACCTAACGACTCCTCTCCCCGCTCCCATGAGGCAGAAAATGTTTATTCTGCCCAAATGACCCATCCGGAAACTGAGGCACAGAGAGATCAAGCCCCAAAGTGCCGAACGTGTGCATTCATTTTGAGTGCCCAACGGGAGCCTAATATCCAGAGACGCTCAGCACCCACAACTCCAAGTGAAGTCAATGCGGGTGCTCAGCGCCTCTGGAAAAAAATCAAGCCCAGAGGGTCTCAAGGAGGAGAGCCAAAACCAGAGGCTGCTTTTGCCCAAGGGGCCTGATCCCTTGGGGGGGGGATGATAGCTCAGTGGTTTGACCATTGGCCTGCTAAACCCAGGGTTGTGAGTTCAATCCTTGAGGAGGCCATTTAGGGATCTGGGGCAAAAATCTGTCTGGGGATTGGTCCTGCTTTGAGCAGGAGGTTGGACTAGATGACCTTCTGAGGTCCCTTCCAACCCTGATATGCTATGATTCTATAATCCAAAGCTCTTTGAAGCCAACGGGAGTCTATTAACTGATGAGTTTAGGGTTGGCTGCACAGAAGTACTGCCAGGGGAGTCGGCCCTGTTTCACGGTCTGAGACCCATTTCTCAAAGCTTTGGGCAGTTATTGTGGGGTAGCACTTTGACCACTGACGCTTAAGCCCCTGGGCGCTGATGGGCAGGAAAGCAGGCGTATGGGGGGTGATGGCTGCTGAGCAGCAGCTTGAAAAATGCCAGTGAAGCCGCTGTGGCAGACTTAGGCACCTATCTGCCTCTTTAGACTGCTAAGGACCTTCCGAAATCTGGCCCCGACATGCCAAAGCCAGTGACAGAGACAGGATCAGAATTCAGGGTTCCCCACACTGGGCTCTTTCCTCTCCTATGCTCCTTTAAAAGCCCATTCTCTAATGGCATTTGAGCTATGGAGTCAGTTTTACAGAGCCAAATAGGGTGCCTAGATGTCCCGATTTTATAGGGACAGTCCCGATTTTTGGGTCTTTTTCTTATATAGGTTCTAGGGTGACCAAATTGGGACACAGGGTAATAGGCGCCTATATAAGAAAAAGACCCGAAAATCGGGACTGTCCCTATAAAATCGGGACATCTGGTCACCCTAGCTCCTATTATCCCCCACCCCCATCCCGATTTTTCACATTTGCTGTCTGGTCATAGAGCCAAAGATCTTCCAAATGTATTTAAATTAGCGAAATTAAAAGTACTTGTATAAAATAATGATTAAACTAGTCTCTAACTTCCCCATATCTTATGTAGCACCATTTTTGCATCAATTTCTCTGGCAGAACCAGGAGATTTATGGCCTTTAAAATATTTAAAGCACAGCAATAGCCGGAAAAGAAACTATTTATAAATGCCTTCTTTGTTCACCATTCCTGATCTCTGTTCTATTCCTGCCTGCTTGCTTTAGTGTCAGAAACTCTGGTCTAATCTGCAACACCAGTGGGAACACAGGAATTGGCATACAGAATCAAATCAGAACAATGGTCCGGGTAGTCTAGTATCCTGTCTCTAATAACGGCGAGTGGCAGATTCATCAAAGGAAGCTAGCCGATCTACGGGACAGCAAGCTGGATTGTATTCTGGCTCACACGTCAAGCAAGTTGTCAGCCCAGTTCTGATTGTCGAAGCTTTGTGCTTAGTGATGACGTGGAATGCAGAGAGAACCCAGTTTGGAATTTTCAGGGCTTGCAGGCAGAAGAAAACCCCACCCAGCGTTTTCCAAACCGCCTAGTGATTTTGGATGCATCAATTTTCAGGTGCCCAGTTTTCAGAAAGTGCTGAACACCCACCCCCTTGTAAATCAAGCCCCTTTTAAGGTGTCTCAAAATCACAACTCGCTTTTTAAAATCTTGGCCTTTGTTTTTTTACACTGATTCCTACCAACCCAACAGCAGTTGCCT